CACCACTGTGGCAGGGACAGGGCGTGGCCAGGTCAGGGGCAGTGTCCCCCACCTATGTGCTGGGCATGGTTGCTTCAGTGCCACATCACCCTGGCCATGAAGCTGAAAGCGCTGGTCACTATGTCCCAGAAGACAGGCGAGACCCTGACCTCGGAGGTCACAGGTCAGTGACCGCAGTGCGGGGACATGCAGCTGCTGGTTGGATGGAAAGACCGGTGGACCCATCATGGCCCCGAGAAGCCCGCCTGCTCCCCTGAGCCGTGTGACGTGTTGGGGCAGCAAGCACGTTGCCACCTGACGCCCGCTTCACCCCCAGCTGCTGGGAGTGCCCTCCTGGGCGACCGATGAGCTAGGGATGCCCAGCACTGCCTTTCAGGCAAGGACATGTCTCAGGGCACCCCAAGTCTGCGAGGCGACACATGACCCTGGTCACCAAGCAGCCCGTGAGGACCAACCCGTTTACAGGCCGCAGGCCCGGGCCCAGCCGTCACAGAGCTCGCCGCCCTCTGTCCGGCCCAGAGCCGCCAGTGTCCTGTCCATGCCCCATGCCTCATGCCTCACCTTGGTCGTGGCCCACTCTGGAAAGCGTCAGCAGCTTCCTGTACAAGCTGAATGTCTTCAGCACGACCTTCCCCGTGCTCTTGTCGAAGATGGCTTCCTGCAGAACCGGCCAGAAGGGGGTCACCCAGCTGCCCGCCTGTGCGTGAGCCAACCACACACGAACCTCCAGGGAGGGGGCCCAGCCTCGCTGACCATGTTCCCCCCTCACCAGAATGGACACTCAAGAACGGGGTGGCCCTTTTTCCCTCCCATCCCATTGGAACTTGAATCCCCAACGGCCCAAGTGCTCCGCCAACACCTGCAGCCTGACTCCTTGGACACCAGACGTGTGGGGGCGCCGGGGCTGAGGGTGCAGACAGAGCAGGGCTCCGAGGCAAGTACTCTCTGCTCTCTGCAAGGTCACCACACAAGGGGACAGAGGATGGAGGTCAGAGCTGCATGGGGCCAGGCAGCTCAGAGGACTCATGGCGGAGACAGGGGCAAGGGCTGGTCTCCAGGGGAGGTGGACTCGCCCCTCATTTCGTTCTGTGCTGTGGACTCGCCCCTCATTTCGTTCTGTGCTGTGGCAACAAACACTCAGTGGGGAGGAATCTGGGTGAAACCAGAAGAGCTTCAGAGAGAAAAACGGCTTCGGAGGGTCCCCTGGCCAGGACCCGTCACGGGCGGGCGACACTCCGGACCCGGGCCGGGCTTACCTCCCAGTCCTCCAGGTTCTGCAGAGCCACGAACAGGCAGCCCGTGACGTAGAAGAGCTTCCAGCCCAGACTATCTGGGAACAAACACAGGACGCGGCGGTGAGGGAGGCCGCAGACAGGCGAGACCCGATGTGCCCACTGGGGCTCCCCGCCAGCACAGCCACTCTCCCAGGCACTGGGCAAGAGTGGCAGCTGGTGGCCTGGCCAGCTGCCCAAGCCTGCAAGGCCCTCCCACCCAGGACGGCTGCCAGGCAACCAGGACCGTGTGGGTGGCACACTGGGCCAGCGCTGCCCTCAGCTCTCCTCTGGGTGTCTGCTCCAGACAGGCGGTAGGGTCTGCCCGTCATGACATGTTTGTGATGGCGGAAAAGCGGGAACACTTACGGGGAGTGGCTGCAGATATGGCTCGTGCCTGCAAGGGGACCTAAGCGGACACCAGAGAGCCCCTTTTTGAAGGATGTGTTTTGACACAGGAAAATGCCTGAGACGTCGGGACCGGAAGGCATAGACTACGAGGGACATGGGCATGAAAGAGGACACGGCGGGCACAGAGGTGGGGCTGCGCCCAGAACCGTCGGGAGGCGGAGGTGCCTATGTTCCCGAAGATGTGCTCTGCAGGTTAGGCGGATGCGCCTTCCTTCGCTTCTCTACTTCCACGGGGCTGGGGCAGGCGGGG